TAAATATATATATATATATATATATATATATATACACTCATGTTTCTTTGGTATAATAATTTTGTAATGAAATATTTTACAAGTGAATTTACAATTGATATTGGTATTGGTATTATTGAAACACGTGTTATTAATTTAACGTTTCACACGTGTATAATATAATGCTCAAATAAAAATAAGCTCAGCTTATCGGTACAAATTTAGATTCTAAAATTAGACATTAATGTCGTATATTCATATGTATAATATATTTCCTATCATTTATTCATTATATCATATACTTTATTATTGATATACTAATCTCAAGAGTCTCGATTTTTTTGTAATTCATTAATACTTTAATTATATATTTTATCTATCTGATTTATAAATACATATCTTTATAAATGAACTTGATTTTAAAAAAATAGTATATTTACAAAATTCTGATAATCTCTCATTTATATTCTCCATCCTCCTTACTCTTTTAATTATATAAAAGCTCTTTTACATTTATTTCATATAATTAAAATGAATATTATAACTCAATTTCAAGAACGAAAATCAAAAAGAAAAACGAGAAGAAAATATCATGTATAATATTTCATATCCAAATTTACATTCGTTTCAGTTATGTGTATAATATGTTTTAAAACAAACTATTTACAACACGAATACATTTAAAAATATAACAAAGAATTAAATATTAATTTTGTGTATTGAAGATTAAAAATAAGATATTCCCATCAATTATACATATACATATATATCTTTGTTCAATTTTTCTAGTATATTACAATGAATTATTTCTTAAATTTGAAATGGTAAAACACAATAATAAGAAAATAAAAAAAGAAAAAAGAAGGAAAATGAAAACGTAATTCGTGTTGTTGAGAATATAGATATATATTTTCTATTTATGGGCGTTCGCAAGTATCAAGTCTGATGATGGGCTTGTACGATGAGTTCAGTATCGTGCGTATCGCGTGTGCGTTAAAACGTTCCACCAGAATTAATCTCTTTCTCTTATTTCCTTCTTCTATAATATTATAATATCAAATACATTAAAGTATATACACATCATAATAAAACAATAACAAATAAAAATTTAAATATATTCGATTATCATTCAAAAAAAAACAAAAACAAAAACATATTTATTTCAAATTGAAACTTTAACTAATACGGCATACAATCTTGTTATTTTTTTTTTTTTTTCTGTATAAATAATAATAAATTCACAATCTTCGAATATATAGTTCATTTTCAAAAAGAGAAAGAAGACCGAGAATGAGAAACGAAGATAAGAAAGAAAAATAAAATAAATATAACAAGTTAGATAGAGAGAGAAAGAGAGATAGAGAGAGGGAAAGAGAATCGAGTCTTCATTCTCTTTTTAATTCCCCAGTGTGTTGGGTAGTATTTAGAAGTCAGTCAGTAAAGTTAGAAGTGCAAGAATAGCCAGAATTTTGTTATTCGATTTTCATTTTTCATCTTACCCCGCATTGATATTTTTACAATTTGTAAAAAAGTACATTCTTCTTTTTTCTTCTTATTTTTTTTGTTTTTTTCTGAATTTTGAATACAATTTCCTAATATTGTATGATGTTAAATGTACGTTAGTGTGTGTATATATATAAATGTGATATATACAATATTAAGAAGAATGTTATAAGTGTAACGAATATGTTATTATTAATCTAACTTTACAGAATTTATTACATTTCAAACGAATACATTTAATTTTGATAACCTTTGATAATCATAAAGCAAATAAACAAAAAGTGAATAATAAGAGACAAAGATCAAAGTTTTATTAGATATATATATTTATCTCTGTTATTCTTATTAATCTAATGAGAGAAAGAAGTAATGAAAATAGTAAAGAAAATTGAAGATAATAGTTTCAAATATGGATTACAAACGAAAACTCTGTTTATTCCCGTTTAATGGCAAGTATATTAACGATTTATTTGTATAGTTTGTTATATTTCTATTCTAACGTATTATATTATATTTATCTTTTCCAAAAATATACATTAATGACGCGTGGTTTTTATGTGTTTACGTAGATCCACGTTAACACACACAAAACACGCAAAACACGTTTAAAACGTATAAAATTGTTCTCTTTTTAATTATACATATATATATATATATATATATATATATATATATATATATATATCATACCTATGATTATGTATACACGTGTGCATACGTAAAATACATCTCGTAAAATAATAAAATAGCAACATCTAGAGACATAAAAAGCATCAAACCTGTCGTCCAGATATTTTCAAAAGAAAAAAACAAGAAATTTAAAAACATTATAGTTCTATTCAGAAATCACAATGTTTGTACGATCAAACAACGCGATAAAAGAAATCAATGATTGTGTTAAACGTCACGCAAGAGGATTTGCAAAAATCAGATACGAACACAGCACATCGTACAATCTACGTTTAAAAATCGATAAAATATAATCTTTACTTTAAAGAATAATCTTATTAAAATATATACTATCTCTCTATTTCTCATAATACTCTCTCGTGTACTTATATATTTTTATTCTATATTATTAATCATTTATTTTAACAATCTTATTTGATTTCTATCTATCTCTTTCACGTTAAATATTACAAAATGGAATAATATATTTCGCATTTGAAATATTTAGTTTTAATACGAAATCATTAATAGAGAGTGTTATTATTGTTGTTTTTGTTGTCTTTGTAAAAAGATAATCGTGTCTTATCTATCATTCGTAGATAGTCTTTCTCATCGTTTCTATTTTCCTGTATTAAAAATGATTATTGATTGATTATTACCATGAATCATGACTTTGCACGTTCAATTACCGAAATATGCATTAATATGCTGTTGTACAAATCCATATATATATATATATATATAAATGTTAACTTGCATATTCTTCCTCTTTTTGTATACTTATCTATATATGTGTCTATGTATTAAATATCACTCTTCCAATTCTCGTTCCTTCCTCTTTTTAATCAATTCATTATTTTCAATTTATTCAGCAGCGTTAGGAAAACCGATCACGCATATATATATATACGCACACACATAGCAGCAGGTTGTAAATCACAACTCACCCTATTAATTTAATTTTATGCTAGTGAACGATCTAGTATATCCGATAATGTACTTCATTTCGTTATAAACACTTTTTCTATTTCTATTTTATTTTCTTCTTTTTTTCTTTTCCCCAGTACTACCTGTTTGGATATTATTCCTTAATTGGTTGACATGGACCAGTTCATTAAGCGATGCTACTGCAGACATTAATTGTTGTCAAAATGGTACAAAGTGGTTGGCAGGAAGAAATTGCAGCGATGGCAGTTACATTAATCTTCAATGTACAGACGCATTTTATCAAATTCATTACGAAAACGAGAAATTTAATATCACGAAAACTAGCAACGGAATGATACTGACATTAATTGATGGTGAACCCCAAGAAATAACGCAAAACAAGTAAACGGTTCTTCTATTCATTTTATTTGCATTCCTAGGTTTTTGTTTTTCAAATCTTTTCAGTACTATGGACGCATATATGCGTCCAGGGAAAGCCATCTGTGTGGACTATGGACGCAGATATGCGTTAATCAATTTTTTTTGTCTACTTCAAATATCAAGAATATTATATTACAATGTGATAGTTGAAATTATATATCAAGAAAAATATTGAAGGATTCAAAATTCAATTGAAACTATAAAGAAACTTATTTTGTTTGTTTTGAATTATCACAGTTTTTGTTTGTTATCCACGGATAATGTTGATAACCCAAAGGCGTTCATTTGCTTCAATGATTCTTACATGGGCGAAACACATTTATGGAAAAACGTATTATATATGGTACTCAGTATGATATCGGCTATATTTTTAATCTTAACATTGATTATTTATTTGATACTTCCTGAACTTCGGGAAATACAAGATAAAGCGATGATGGGTGCAATTTCTTCTTTGGCAACCAGTTATATTATTCTTTGTATCCAATATGTCAGAAATAGCGAGTACAATGAGGATACAACTTTGTGTGTTACTTTAGGTATATATATATACACGTATATATATAAGTATCTCGTTAACATTATTAAAACATTGAATATTATTTTATATTTTAGCATTCTTTCTGTATTATGCATTCATGATTGCCTTCTTTTGGTTAAACATCGTTGCGTTTAATATTTGGCGAACAGTCTGGTGAGTAAACAAAATATTTAATAAAACTAATTTATGGTGTGTTTGTTGCTTTTTTTTTTTTCAATAAAATAAAAATAATTGTATTCCTAGGTTCAAACATTTTGTGATCAAGGATAGAATACTGTTTCCAATTTATTGCGTATTCGGATTATTCTTACCGTCTTGTTTTTTATTGTCGGCACTTTTAACTCATCATATTCAAGGAAATCACTTGAAACCACATTTTGGTGAATTAATATGTTGGTTTAACGGTAAAGTTCAATGAATATTTCACCTTAGTCATTGATCATATGTTTAATATTTGTTTTTAACAAATTAATTTACATTTTTCTTTGTGCTGGGGGTTGGGAAATTAGGAACAGATGAAGTCTGGGTGTTTTTTTACGGTCCAATAGCCATACTATTGACACTGAATGTTATCTATTTGGGTCTGACCAGTTGGAGATTATGGCACGAATATCGTGAATATAATGGAAATAAACTACGAGCATTAAGATTTAAATGTTTGCTTTATATGAAGCTCATGCTTGTTATGGGTATAACATGGATATTTGAGATATTATCATATGCTATCGGTACAACGGGGTGGTACTGGTAAATTATTATTTTTTATTATACATTTGTTTTATAACTGATCAATTATAAGTTTATTTCGTAATATCGAATTAACGATAATAATCCTTGAAAATTTGTACACGAATAACAAGTGGCTAATTAAAATATAGCCTTTGGCGTATACATTCTTCCTTGTTCCTTCAAATTAAAATACGTCAGACGTCATACATATTAGATGTAATTTTTTTTTCTTTTCTTTTTTTTTTTATTTATTACGTGTACATATTTCTTATTATTTCAATTCCTTTCGATTAACTAAAACCCCATCTCAAATGTGTAATATTATTTTCAATGTGTATCCTCAATATTATCATTCTATTTTAAAAAGCATTATTATTAATAACGAAACTTTTGTTTTTCTATTAGGGTACCAACGGATATTCTAAACTCATTGCAAGGCTTTATAATATTTCTTCTTTTGGTTGTATCGCGAAAAAGAGTGAGGAAACTTTTGGCGAAAAAGAAACCTTGCGGTATTGTTTTCCCTAAATCTTGGACAGCCTACGAAGATGAGGAATGTGAAGTTGTGTTACCAGAAGAATTGGAATTGTCTCAACAGGGCTAGGATATTTATTCATCCATTCATTCATTCATTCATTTATTCGTTCATTCATCTTCATTATAACTTTTTGAAAATTGTTAAAAAAAAAAAAAAAAAAAAAAAAAAAAAAAAAAGGAAGAAACTTATGTATATTATTAATAAGTTATTATCTTAACGATCTCATTTCTATTTAAATCATTTGACAAACGCATTATCTGCTAATTATTATTGAGAAAAAAATAATATCGAGATTTTGTTAACGTACAAATCAATCATGTGCATATATATGCATATATTCTTTCATGTACTCTTTTAAATGTACTCTATGTTATGCCAATTTTCCTCACTTTTTTTTTTTTTCAACGAGGAAGAGATTATTATTATACAGGAATCTCACTGTAAATATTAAGAAATTGTGAGAAAATCCAAAACAAATATAAAAATATATTATAAAGGAAAACTAAATGTAAAAACGCATCGTTTTATTATTATTATAATTATATCTATCTCTTTGTTCTATATATATATATATATATATACATATTTATACACACAACTTCTGTTTTAAATATTAAATACGATGACGATAATGGAAAACACTCGTTTTTTAAATTGATATTCCATTCTATAAGTATGTATGTGTGAATGCGAAACAAAGAATTGACTCATCGGATTTGATTTTTTTCTCTCTTTCACGTAGTATACAAAACCGGACTTTGTATTTGCATATAGCTAACGACAATACCATATCCTGACACACAATCAAACGATTTATCGTCAATAAGAGATACAAAATTATTCTTAATTATAAAATATATTATGCACAGTTATTTTGTTTTTAGAAAAAAATTCTATACGTAAATAAGTTTAATAAATTCAAAATAAGATCAAATAACAAACAAATTATTTCTACTTAATAGTGAAAAACGTATAATCATTTATTCTATAAATATATCTCTCCTATTGACGTATGAACGTTTAAATTGATTATAAAAAATTCAACTTAATTCTAGTATTAAATTGTAATTGTATTTGTGTACTCATATCAAGTATCATTCATTTATGATACGTGATTAAAGAAAGAAGCGTTTGTACTATCCATTAACAAAAAAGTATGCGAGGGCAGCGAAGTCACTAGTTTATCAACAAAAAAGATACATTCGGTTAATATGATAAGACTGATCTAATCTAGCACACAGAAGATGCTCTATTCGTTTTTAAAGGATCGTTCACACATAATATTAAGTTAATATTACAGCTAATACAATTTTATTTTTTCTTTTCTTTTCTTTTTAAACTTTATCATTTAAAAACATTCTTTATACATTTTCAAAACATCTCTTATCGCATTCTCTAGCACGCTTTTAACAAACGATCATCATTTACTCATTATATGAAATACCTGGAACGGTAATGTATAAGCAAGAAGCATAACAAACTTATGAATCATTCTGATAGAACTAACGTCATACATACAGGGGGGAAAAAAAATATTAAAAGAGAAATCAAAAAAGGTAGATACGATTAATAGAAAACTTTATAATTCTTTGTAATAGGGATTCCAAAGAATTGTATTTAACTTTAAATAGAATATTCTCTTGTTGTGTGGTTTAGTTCAGTGTGAATCGAGCTTTAAATTCTTGTAATAGTCAGACTAACTCTTCCCTTTTCTTCTCTTCTTTTCACACACACAACATAAGAGATTCAAGAAAGAGAAAGAAAGAAATAAAGAATGAGCCAAACGAACACAGAGGGGGAACTGGAATAGTATAAGAGAACCACATAGTATGAAAGAGTGCAAGAAGAAACCAGAATGGATGAAGAGGTGAAGAGGAGGAGAAGGAGGAAGAGGAGGAGACAAGTATGGATGAGCAAGGGTAGGGTTCTTCTTTGCAGGCGTTTTTGTCTCTACTAGCGACAGCAGACAGGTATGGCAAAGTTAAGATGATTCCAGAATATTGCGTTATTTGGGCGCACGTGTGTACAGACCTTAAACGTCCTGTGAATGAGAAAGAAAGAAAGAAAGAGAGAGAGGGAGAGTGTGTGCGTGTAAGTGGAAATCAATATTTCATTGATTAGCATATATACTTCTGAGTAAGGTCTATGAAAAAGATATTGTATTATAAAATGTTGAGTTAATGAAAGTATACAAAAGGAAACGAAGGTGATGGCGATGATGATATGGTGGTAGAGAAAGAAATAAAAAGTGAGAGAAACAGAGAGAGAAAAAGTGCGCACGCCTCTGTGAGCAAGAAAGAGAGAGTGAGAGAGAGGGCGAGCGAGAGAGAGAGAGAGAGAGAGAGAGAAAGAGAGAAAAAGAAAGGAGAAGGGGTCAGTACAAGAGTGACATGCATCTTGTAACGGCGTTACTTCTTGTATCATTCCTAGCGAGTCATTCGAGATTCGCCGGTGGAAATACAAATACAAATGAAAAACCAAATACAATCAAAATTGCAAAGTGTTGCGAATTGAGTGAACTTCTTTTGGACGACACGTGCACACCATTATCAATTACGAACGAAACGAAACCATGGCAACCAGAATATACCCAAGACAAGGATTCCAATATTTTCTTGAGAACTCCTCCAACTCCGGATTATCGTATTGGATTACCTAGATGTCGAAGTAACGAACATCAGTGGCATGTTTATTATTATCCTTCTGGGCCAGATAGATTAGCTATCGTTTTGCCATTGGGCAAACTCAGACATTATGTTGATGATCTTAATAAAGAAATTAGCAGAAGTAACGGAGGTGGTGCCTTTGAATCGTTTAGATACGATGACGAAGAAGACGAAACAAAATATATTCATTACGATTATTCTTTTGGACAGTATTGTGTGGATAAGGCTGTTCTTAGTAGAGATCATTTTGTCGCTACCTATGCTATGATATGTGTTCCCGAGGTACCCTTTCAATGGTCCGACCCCAATTATTTGATGAAACATGCTATCGACCCAATCTTTCATGCTATATCCATAGCAGCATATCTTGTAGTTGCGGTCGTTTATTTTGTTCTACCACAATTGAGAGATCTTGTTGGTAATATGATAACTAGTATGACGCTGTGCCTTATAACCAATCAGTGCGCCACGACGGTTAAAATATTCACTGAATTTGGTAATCACGTTAACTTTATGATAGCTGGTAAGTTAATATACCAATTAAATAGAAGAATTTATAGAAAATCAAGCTTCTATCTGATGTTGTTTGATTTTTTTCCAGATATAATCGCTTATACGTCTTCGTTAGCTGCTTTCTTCTGGCTCAACACTTTGGGCTATTACGTTTGGAAAACGTTCAGATCTCGCAACGTATTTTTGCGTACAACCGATGGAAAAAAATATTGTTATTATTCTGCATACGTTTGGGGCGCAACAATTTCCATTTCCACAACTGCAATTTTTGCACATTTTGCATTAGAAACTGACAAACCTTTTATAGGTGGTACGGCATACCCTGCTCAAGAAACCGTTGGTTGGCTAGCTCTTTCAGTGTTGTACATGTCTATTGCTCTTACAATAATAATTGATTTTAGTTTCATTCTAACAACAGCGAACAGAATTAAGAGAATGAGTACATATGGTAGGATACATCACAAAATGAAATACAGTTTCAGAATGTTTGTTTTGCTGTTTGCAATAATGAGTATTAGTTGGATAACGTTATTATTGGCGGGATTAAAATACGACGCATTTGCGTATTGCCACGTTGTCGTTAATTTATTACAAGCTCTTTTTATACTCCATATTTGTGTATTCGGTCAAAGAAGAGTCACTTTTTTACTTGGGAAAACATGCAATTGTAGTAGAAATGGAGATAATATCGAAGGGTTTGATTGGGGAGAAGAAATGACAGCAATTAATGCTGGTTATTAATTTGCACTTAGATCTTATAATTAACTCTGAGTGATTGTCCAAACAAAAGACATATCTAATGTTTAATACCAATCAATTTTCACTAGCTTTAAGATATTTGATAAATATATTGTAAATTATACGTGCCTTAAATCAAATAGATCTGTGTATATAATCGTAATGCGTGTTAATGAAATAATAGAACTTTATATAAATATATTATATATATATATATATATATATATATATATTTATGTGTATTACCTAGTAAAGTATTAATACTTATTTTCAGTATATATAGTCAAAGTTAATTATAACACCTATTATGTGTTTTTACAATATTTATGTGATATTTCTTTGTATGATATAGCAACTTTTTGTATAAAAAACAGAAAAAGGAAAAAAGAAAATATCATTTTACGTATTCATGCATATACATAATTAAATAAACTATCTTGCATACTCTATTAATATTTTGATATTTTATTTTTAAAAACTTACCTGACCGAATAATCCACCTTCTGGCCGGTGCAACAAATTAGATAATTGACAACGTACCACCAGGTGACAATCGTCCATGACGGTATTGAAAAAGCGCCTAGTTGGTAGAAGAGCTTCGAGATCAATGATAAGTTCCAAGAATCTTTCGCAGTAACGAATTTTATCAGGAAAAACAGGTTCTGTAATGAATTATTTAAAACTATATTGTTCTTAAAAATATATGAAAATATATATATATATATATGTATAAAAATGTAAGAAGAAACAATAACACGAGTTCCTAAAGGCAAAAAATGGTATATGTATGCCTCTATGTACAATCGATGTAAGGACGACTTGATTTTTGTATATATTATTAGTATTTTAAGCTATTATTCGATCTGCAATATTTTGGTCCTACGACAAGAGGTCATGGCTTACCTTTTTTCCTGTCAGAAACTCGTGCATCAATTACCTTCAAGCGGAATTGTTTCTAATATGGTCATAAATTTGATCATAAGTCTGTGTAAGAATTTACGTTCCCATTCTAATTTATCTTTCAATTCGGGATTATCTTTTTTTCTTATAACCTTCCAGTATTTTCTCCATTTAGGATATTTCTTAAATTCTAACTCTCTACGTCCCTCTTGCAATGAAATCCACATGGACAACGATACTAATCTTTTAACTTCTTCTCTAACTAATGGTACTTCCATGGAATTGAAGCAATGATTTAGAAATACAATAAGCGCCGTTTGTTCCTTAAGATCAAAATCCATAATACTGTCTTCCAAACATGCTTCGAGAACTTTTTGAAAGAATCCAGCGAACTGCGTAGGATTCTTTTCAAATGCTTCCCAAACTTGTACACGTTCGCGAAACTTCTCGTTGACCATAACGACGATGGACATGGTGTGTGCGCGTGTAGCAGTTTCCACATGATAATTTGGCCATAGAAAATTTTCCAAATATTGACTGAATTCTAACATCATGATGCGTCGAATAGAAAACTTTGAAGCACATATTTCTTGGATATAAATATCATCTACTATTTGAGAATTAAATGGTAGATGTACATCTGTAGTATGCGGTGCCCAATACTTACTAGCTAACTATAAAATAAATGAAAAGTTTAGGTTAGAATTAATTTGGTTATAAAGAAAACTACCTCACAACAAAATAAATGAAAATTAAATAAAATACCTGAGTTACTTTATCTGCGTTAATTTGTTCAACAGTTGGAGCAGGATTATTACTTTTAATGGGAGGTGCGTTTAGATTTTCCATTTTTAATTTCCTATAATTTTTCACAATATATCAATTCAGTATACAATGTAATCAAGCTTGACTTTACTGCACTTTACTCAACACACCACACACACACACACGCAATAGTTCGGTTATACTATGTATATATATGTATGTATACATGTGCATAGATGTATATAACAACTTTACATATAATATTGCAACTAAAATAATACTTGAATTCTTATAAAAATTATATTTCTACACTAATCACCTTTTTAACTATCTTTTTATCAAGTTATTAATATATTATTAAATTAATAAACACATAAATTAATTTTTTTAAATTAGAGCGAACGAGTTACCCACTAAACTTGTTAATACATGATAGACAAGATCGAAGAATATTTAACGTCACGTGATTGAATACGTTTAATTGGTTAATCGAATTTTCTCGCATTGTCATAGGTGCAACGATTATCGATATTTAAATTTTAAATTAATTTAAGAAATCAATCATTTAAATTATAATTATTATTATATTAATAATACCTTATATATATATATATACGTTGGATGATTAATCTAGATTAAATTTAATCGATGACTGAACATTATTGCGCCATGTTTAAATTTCCCTCCTTTAGAACACGTGGGGAAAAAAGATATCTATTGTTAAAGTTTCCATCACAAAGTGTAAGCTACTTGAAAATCGTTTTTTTATTTATTTATTCGTACTAATATTATTTATTTAAACGAATAAATATTTTATGCACTTGATTCTATTAATATAATTGATAATAGTTAACCAAATAATACAACATGCCTCCTAAAAAAAGGATTCATTCTAAATCTCAAAGTTCAAGATCAAAAAAATTGAAGTTAACAAGGTCTGATGATGATGAGAATATTTCTAAAGATACTGAATTGTCCGACGATTTACCAGAAATTTCAAATAACACAGATAAGACAGATAACAATAATGCATCGTTAACATCATCACCATCATTGTCATCCATACAATTACCAATTTCTGAAAGACTATTATTAATTGAACAAGAGCTATGTCAACAGTTAAAAACTATAAAATTCCCTTCCAAAGTTGAATATGTTTATAATCCAATAATCTATGCATTTGAGGTGCACGCAAAGTACGTGCAAACTTATTGCAATGAATCTAAAAAAATTTTATTTCTTGGAATGAATCCCGGTCCATGGGGTATGTCGCAAACAGGTGTACCATTTGGTGAAATTAGTATGGTTCGCGACTGGTTAAAGATTCAAGGTTTTATTGGGAAACCTTCTAAAGAACAACCGGATAGAAAAGTAACTGGGTTTGATTGTAAACGTAGCGAAATTAGTGGTAAAAGACTTTGGGGACTTTTTAAAGATTTATGTGGAACTCCACAGAATTTTTTTAAACATTCTTATGTACATAATTATTGTCCTATCGCTTTGATGGATCGTAAAGGAAAAAACATCACACCTGCAGATTTAAAGGCAATGCTTGTTCTCCTTCCTTTCTCGTTACTTTTATATACCTAATGTTAAATATTTCTTTTCTTTTGCAGAAAGAAGAACAAAAATTAATACACGAATTGTGCGACCAAGCACTGTCCAAAATAATTCAATTATTGGATGTGAAGATTGTAGTCGGTGTGGGAAGATTTGCAGAGAAAAGGGCGCAGGCTGTAGTAAGTGCGGATAATTTATCTGCTCAGGTAATATTAAAAAAATATCATTTATCATTATTTAACACACACACGCGCGCACGCGTGCACATGGATATACATATATATAAATTATATTATGCTATTTAATTTTTTATATAGTTCATTATTCTTTTAGGTGTTATGGATTACTCATCCTAGTCCAAGATCAGTTGGAAATCAAAACTGGGATGAGAAAACCAAACAAAGATTGCACGATCTTGAATTAGCAGAGTATTTTACCAGTTAAATAATTATGTTATCGTAATAAGTAAAAAAGGAATACTTTTCATTTATCAAAACTGTTGATTAGCATATATGATTGTAAAAAATCTATTTTTTTTTCATTGTAAATCAGTTCATTGCTTCCTCTTATACTTTTATACTTATACTATTATAATATATTACTCTTTTTTTATACTACTAAACTTATACTATTGTTTTTATTAATTTTAATCGCTATGAATGCAGTTGCATGGATGGACATTGCTTTAAAAAAAGCTGCAGCTTCGTTAAAAGTTGGCGAGGTTCCAGTCGGTTGCTTATTCATATATAATGATAAAATTATTGCAGAAAGTAATAATACTGTTAATGAAACCTGTAATGCAACTAGGCATGCAGAAATGAATTGCATTGATCAAGTTTTAACATACTGCAAAGAGAAATCCATAGATTATAAAGAAGTGTTTTCAAATATTGACATTGTGGTTACTGTAGAACCATGTATAATGTGTACATCAGCATTATACCAATTAGGAGTCCGTAGTATTATTTATGGCTGTAAAAATGATAGGTTTGGAGGATGTATTAGTGTTTTTAAAGTACCTAATGTTTATAATACTAAAGTAACTGTATTAGGAGATATAAGAAGCGAAGAAGCTATAAGTTTACTTAAAAATTTTTATGAAGGTACAAACCCAAATGCACCAGAGTCGAAAGCTAAGAAAATTTCGAAAATTGAAGACCAATAATAAATGATTAAAATAAAGAATTTCATTGTGCATAATTTTTTTTGTAAGAATTTTATATATATATATATATTAATATACTATTAAAATAATGCACGTAACAATATAAATAACAAGAATCCTCATTTTTATGTGTTTTTATACTTGTTCGTGCAGTTCATTTAAAAATTATTCTATATACCTTATTACCTATATACCTTATACTAAGACATGCACCACAAGGGATCGTTAGCACATTTACCTTGATACCATTTTATTAGCAATTGATTTTGTAGTGAATATTCATTAAATACTGTATGATTGAGCTGAAAGAAATTTTATTCAAATTATATATAAAAAATTACTACATAAATATACATATTTTTTTTTTTATTTAAATTAATACTTACTGGAGAAGGTGGAAATATCCTTTGAAAATCCAACTTGTTTTGATGTTCTTTATAACTTTGAATTAAAATGTGTTTAATTTCTTCTGTCATACACGGTATACAAAGTTGACATTCCATTTTTAAACAATCGTGACATGTTATGCAAATGTGCGGTAATACTGCTAAATTTTTAGACGCTACTTCCATTTCTTGTACGAATTGGCCTCTTTATATAACATAAATATTTTTCGTTAAAAGTAGATTTTAGTTTTACATAAAAATATAATATATGATTAAAGAAAAATCTAAGTTACCTTGTTTCAGGCGATTTTTTTACACGAGTTTGTTTAACCCTTGAGTTAATACCGATGAGTGAGAATAAATTAAATAAAACTTGTTCATAAAGTAATTGATTAGGAGGATAATGAGCGGATGATAAATTGGGAGACATATTTGCTTCCATCACATGCACTTTCATATCTTTATCAATAATGAAGTCAAATCTGACCAATTCGAAATAATTTCTTTGATTACCATAACGTTGGATGCTTTCTTTCATTAAACTTTCTTTCATAATTGCTATTTCTTGTATTGCTTTTTTTATTTGATTCCAGATATTATCAAAGTCTTTTCCTATTGATCTCATATATGCATATAATGAATCTTTCATTGAATATCCCAAACGAATATAATAATCATTCAGAGATGGTACTTCCCAAATAGGTCGGTATTCATCGCTAATAATGTATGAATCCTCTTGACTGCTATCAAATGGTTCATACTTTATTGTACAGAATCTAAGTAAGACATCTCCTTTGTAAATATATACTCTGAGTGGATCAATAGATGTAAATACTACATATACACCTAGATCAAATTTATAACCATCGATGAGGAATGGATTATCTATAAAATCTTGTATAAAAGATTCTGAATCATTGTAATCTATATCAGAAGCTTTAACAATCTTTATACCACGATGGTTATTAGACTTTTTCAACCATAATTTATTTGGATTTAGAATGGCATGTGTGAGAAATTTATTTCTATCCTGTGGAATCCTAAACGATTTAGGTAAATAGAATACTCCGGACGTAGATAAATGTTTCTTGTTTGTGATATAACCGCAGCCAGGAAAATGATTGATAAGTTGATGAGGTTTTAAATTTTGTAAAATTGGAGCTAATGTTAGAAACGGATATTCATGCGACCACAAAAGATTCCAATTAGTTTCATCGTTAGTACGTTTAAATCCGATACCATTTAATACCGTAAATATATTATTTAAATGATCGATGGAATCATTGTTTCTATTAAGAACATAATACGTTGGTCTTTCATCATCGATTCTTTCTTTGTCAAACTTTTTCAAAGGTGACTGAATATATAAATAATAGAATATGCTAATTAATAGCACTACAAATGACATAAACCATAAAAATAGCCTGAATGTTAATTGTAGTTTATTAAAAATATTTAATTTCTCCATTTCTTGCTGAAAACAAAAACAAAATGAATAGTTTTCTATTAATAACTTGTATAATTAAATTTATATTAAAATATAAATGTAACAATGTAAAACCTTTCTCTTCCTTCTCATTCTTTTCGTATCTGTTGTTATGAAGTTTGCATCTATATTAAAATTCGATTTTGTATCACCATTACTACACATTTTATTATGTATTAACATTGAAGATTAGTTGATTTGACACCAAAACGTATATTCGCAATCAATAGAATACACAATGTGAAAGTACCGTTTTAATATATTCCTCTTTCCTGTAAAAGTATGTCACGTATGTTTCTACTGCGACAGAAAAATAATTCTTTAATATCGAACAAACGAAAATGATTAGAATTTAATGAAGAAATTAATAGTTGATATTAGATTTGTTTACCTTTTCGTTCACAGAACGTTTTACATTAAACACTTTGAATATCCTTCACAATAATTAAACGGATTTTTTCAAAATGGTGTGTGTATCCTAATAATTAGTTAACATCAGCTACCTGTATCTAATATATTCTTGTTTTTCTTCTTATTTCTTAACAATTTATTAATAGAAATATATACATATATATATGTATCTAATATATTTACTAAATATATTTAAATAAAATAGATAATATTTGTATAAGTAATAATAATAATTATTTTTATGTTTCAATTTAAAGAACGTTTAAATATTTTTTTAATTTCAAAAATACAACTAATGCCCTCTGTTCTCGCGCCACGAAAATATATTATAAATGCGAACGCCCTCATATACAGAACGCATCTAACTGAAGAAATATTTCGTTCTTTTACGTTAGAAGACTTCGGTGAAGAAGCATATATATTTGTTATCAAAATGGGTTTTCAAAATATTTGGTACTCGCATCCACGCAAATACGGCCAAGGATCTAGATCCTGGTAAGTTATTATTAAAATATACATATATTTCTTTTTTAGATTTTTTTAATACATTTTTTGCTATACGAAATCATCACGACCGCGTGTGACAAATTTAGTATTACATGCTTTTTATTTTTTATTATTTAACGTTCCTATTTAATACTTACAACAAATAGTATACTAAATAATTCAATATTTATTATTATTTATATAACACATAACATAGAATTCATATTTTTCATGATTTCGTAAATTTTATGTAAAAAAAGTTAATTAGATGAACATGAAATTAGAGGTTAGATTGTTATTCAAGTATGGAGAACAATATATATATATATATATAATGCAATTATATTTTTTACGTATTTCTTTCTTTCATTTAAAATATTTCTTTTAACTTTGTTTACAGCCGTGCTTGTGCAAATAAACATGGGCTTATCCGTAAATATGGTCTGAACATTTGCAGACAATGCTTCAGAGAATACGCAGCTGATATTGGTTTCAAGAAGGTAAAAATAAAATCCTGTGTAGTATCCAAAAAAACAAAAAACTTATATAAAAATTTATAATTATGATTAATTTTTCTCTTTCTTTCTTTTATAGTTGGATTAATTCAATTAAGAAGAAGTTAAATAAAATAAACAAATTCCAATAATTTATATACCATTATATAAATATGTTGATTTAAATCATTAAAAGATTCGTGATTTATCAAAACATCTAAAAGGATATTTGTATTAATGTAATACTAAAAAATAAATTTTAATTCAGATCTAATTTATATATCGTAGTTACTTTTGATTAATTTACCACATTGTATTATTTACTTTTTTTCGCATGCATTTTTATTGTGTACGTTATGACCTGATTTGCATACACAACTAAAAAAAAAAGATATTCTATGAATTATTCAATACAAAAAATAAATTATTCGTAACAACTAATCATTGAACGTGTAGAATGCCGGTAACGTAGCCATTTTGTATGCACAAAAGAATACAAAAGTATATAGAAACTTACAAGTCCCCTTTTTTATCTAACCAGTTTCATTTTAGTTATTACCGAGACCACCAGTGGCCGATAGTAGGTACTTAACGCGATGACGGTACAGTACTATCAAAGAATACAGTATTCTTGGATAATATATATAGTATAGTTATATTGTAAAAGAAATAGAAAGAATTATATTTAATTTTTAATGATAGTACTGTACCGTCATCGCGTTAAGTACCTACTATCGGCCACTGGTGGTCTCGGTAATAACTAAAATGAAACTGGGTAGGTAAAAAAGGGGACTTGTAAGTTTCTATGTACTTTTGTATTCTTTGTATGTATAGTTGGATCGTATATCAATTACTAAGCAGTATTGCTCGAATTTAATTGTAGTTTTACATTGTAAAAACAATTAGAATTTTTGTTTACAAATAATTACAATTTATTGCAATGGGCTTTTCGGACACAATGAATTACATTCTATTTACCAACCCAATTAGTTCTGGAACGTTTTTACTTCTTAGAGGTACAGCAAGAATGGTGAGTTAGGTCTTTTAAATTTATTTATTAACTGAGTGACTATTTGAAAAATATATATTTTCTCATTTATTTCCAAAACACTGATTAGATAATCAGTTTTGTTTCTATTTAGAGTGCTTAAATCATATGAAATATAACCTGCAATAAACAGAAAGGTATGGTACTTCATATGGTAATTATGTATATAAAAATAATAATAATAATAATAAATTTGACAAACGTAACACACAAAACTAACTGTTTTGAAGGACAATATAATTATACTTATCAATTTTCACTTGTGTAATATATCATTAGATCAAAATATATATTATAGGCAGGTGATTATATAGGCTTACAACCTAAACAAGAAATGAAAATGCCACAGACTGTTCAATTATGGAAATTAACATCGGCTGTAGGACCTTATATTAAACTTGCTGGACTTAGTGGAGCAGTCGCTGTAAGTTTAGGTGCTTATGGAGCGCACAGTAAGTTATACAACAGTCATCATTAAATATAATCGTTTATCGTTAATTCTTTTGATAAAAGAAAATGAATATGTTAAAATATGTGCATGAAAAATGTTACATATACGTTGTATAAAAATTATTATTCCTTTCGTTTTAGACATTAATGCAGAAAAATTCCCAGAACAAGCAAAAATATTCGATACAGCTAATAAATATCACTTTTTTCATACATTAGCTTTACTTGGTGTACCTCTTTGCAGAAGGCCATTTTTGGTAAATTTTCATTATTTTTTTTTTTGCAACTTTATTAACTTCTTGCACTATAACAAAGTTGGTGTTTCTTATGTTAGGGATGTAAAATGTATCACGAGTCTTATACGTTGTTATACTTTATCTTTATTATTCTCCCTTTTATGGGTTTGAGACCTCGATAACATACCTCTCTGGGTCAACAGCAAATGGTGTTCCAAAGTGGTCACCCATTTTACTATTAACCATGTCCATTGTTGCTTAACTTTAGTAATCCAACGGGAACTAGTATTTTTAACGAGACGAGGCCGTTGACACACACCTTGTTATAATGCAAAGTATTGTTAATTGTTATGTATATACATATATATACATCTTTTTCTTATGAATTTACAGGCCACATTATTTTTCCTCAGTGGAATAATAATGTTCAGCGGCAGCTGTTACTATATAGCTTTTACAAACGATAAACGTTTTTCAAAAATGGCTCCATTTGGTGGTACATGCCTAATATTAGGATGGTTATCTCTAATCCTCTAAATATACGATTATCTTTACTTGTTTAAATATTATAATAGAAATATATATATATATATATATATATTGCGATTTACTTTGAAGTGTAAGAACGTATTTTAAGTTTGTGATATCTACTGGTAAATTCATTTCCGAGAATAAACATAAATAACTATTTATAAATAAAATGTTGATATAATATATTTCTATGTTAAAAAATAAATAATTTTTAAGTAATATATATATATTTTGTAGCACATATTATTATGCATGCCACGTATAATATATATCTGTAAGTATATTATTACCGATTAAAAAAGAATTAACTTCTTTTTTGGCAAGTGGGTTCCCCCCTGTATTTACATTAATTGAAAGGCTTTTTTTAAAAAAAAAAAAGAAAAGAAACTTGTTCGCATCGTAAGTAAAGAAAAAGTCTTTTTATACTAATGGATTGATATAAATATAACTTTGTTTATAATATTAATGACATGTGTTTGAATTGTATTTCGAAATATTACCAGTTCTTTGTAATGTGTGTTGCATGCGTATAAGATTTGTCGATCGAACATATTTTATTTTTACTCCCATTAAATTTCTTTTCCCGTTCATGCTATTATTGTATTTTTACGTGTTACCTTATTCATCATCGCATAGCAGGATAAAAGGGCACAATCAAAAATAATTATGTACCTTATAGATTATGTTGATTGAAGAGTACATGTAACATTGCCTGATGTAGTACTTATGTGTTTGAATGCACACATCGACAACATATATCACATATTAAATATTATGGTGGTATGATATTTGGCAGCTCTATTTATCTTTCTTGTTATTTTTTGTTTAAAGTATATTTAATAAACTACAATAATAATAATAATAATAATAATAATAATATATTGAAATGAATACACAACTTTTGCTAATCGATCAAGACGTGGATCTTATAATTGCACTGAAATAATTGTATACTAAAAGGAAAAAACAATTTATGGCCTGCGTTAGCAATGTTACATGATATAATTAATTGTAATAATATGATCGAAGTAATATTTCTTTTCACTTTTCTTTAATCATCTTCATCGTCTTTCTTTTTTCTTCTTCTTCTTCTTCTTCTTCTTCATCTTGATAAAGAGATGTTAAAGTGATGCACAATATGTTAAGGTATTTAGGTACGCACGACGGTTATAAATTTTAGCACCCGACTATTACCCCATATATCGCAAAATTGTCCTTTCTAAATCTCCCTCGATTACACTTCAAAATTTAAGAAATTAATATTAATATACATACATTGTATGATCCGTCTGTTATACCAGCTTCGCTTTTAATCGATAACTTTTTTTTTTTTTTTTCTCTAAGTCATATTTTATACAGAGTCTTACAATTTTCATTAGCTTTTTCTTGTTTTTATTATTTTTATTATTATTCATCGTTCTTGTGTTTTGTTGTAGTTTAGAGATTTTTATTATTCTCTTTTCCCCACAAATATGACGCTTCAAGTGTCTCTAAGTTGGACGTAAGATATGCATCCATCTATTTGTTGACAACACACCACACGAAGGGGAGAACAAAACAATAAATGTTCTTAAACGATGCTGGCTGCACCCTTTTACACAGAGTTTCATTAAGTAAAATAATTTGACTATCTTATTTAGAATAAAGATATCAAATAATATATATTAATAATAATAATAATAATAATAATAATAATAATAATAATAATAATTAATTAAATTTAATGATACATAAGTAATAAT